GGATGCTTTACTGTTGACATGACCCAGGACTGATGGTAGTGCTCACCTTGTCTTCTCCAAACAAGCTTTTTTCCAGATGCCCCAAAGAATCTGAAAGAGGATTCATCAGAGAAAATGACTTTGCTCCAGTCCTCAGCAGTCCAATCCCTGTATCTTTTGCGGAATATAAGTCTGTCCCTGACGGTTTTTTTTGGAGAGAAGTGGCTTCTTTGCTGCCCTTCTTGACACCAGGCCTTCCTCCAAAAGTCTTCACCTTACTGTGCGTGCAGATGCACTCACACCTGCCTGCTACCATTTCCGAGCAAGCTCTGCAATGGTGGTGGCCCGATCCCGCAGCTGAGTCAACTTTAGGAGATGGTCCTGGTGCTTGCTGGACTTTCTTGGGTGCCCTAGATCCTTTTTTGCAACAACTGAAGCTCTCTCCTTGAAGTTTTTCATGATCCGATAGATGGTTGACTGAGGTGCAATCTTACTAGCTGCAATATCCTTCCCTGTTGACCCCTTTTTGTGCAATGTAATGACGACTACACGCATTTCCTTGCAGGTAACCACGGTTAACAGAGGAGGAACAATGATGTCAAGCACCATCCTCCTTTTAACGCATCCAGTCTGTTATTCCAACTCAGTCAGCATGACAGATTGATCTCCAGCCTTGTCCTTTTCAACACCCATCCTGTTTTAATGGGAGAATCACTGAAATGATGTTAGCTGGTCCTTTTGTGGCAGGGCTGAAGTGCAGTGGAAATGCCTTTTTTGGGATTAAGTTAATTTTCAAGGCAAAGAGGGAATTTGCAATTAATTGCAGTTGATCTGATCACGCCTCATAACATTCTGGAGTATATGCAAATTGCCATTATAAAAACTGAAGCAGCAGACTTTGTGAAAATTAATATTTGTGTCATTCTCAAAACTTTTGGCCACGGCTGCATGTTGTAAACTGCGCTATGCAAATAAAATTGAATTAAATTGAAAAAATTAGTCAGCCACACTGCTGGGTCCTTGGCTGAGAAAGGAGGCGGCAGCCTGCATCTTTTCCATTTGACCAGGTGATTGAAAATCTTCTTCATTTCCATGGTGAAAGCCTTGCAGGAATTGTCAGAGGGCGCCTCCCAGACCACTTGGCAAATCTGCCAATCTTGGTGTTTTCTGGCAAATGCCAATCGCCCTGCATGGTGCTGGGCTATAAGCACAAGCCCCACTTGTGGACGTCGGACCCTCATACCACCCTCATGGAGTCTGTTTCCGACAGTTTGAGCAGAAACATGCATATTAGTGGCCTGCTGGAGGTCATTTTGCAGGGCGCTGGTACTGCTCCTCCTGTTCCCCCTTGAACAAAGTACTGGCCTGTCTCTTGGTATCTCCTCCATGCTCCGGACACTGTGCTGAGAGACACAGCAAACCTTCTTGCCAAGGCTCGCATTGATGTGCCATCCTAGATGAGCTGCACTACCTGAGCAACTTGTGTGGGTTGTAGACAACTTGTGTGGGTTGTGGACACCGCCTCATGCTACCTCTAGGGGTGAGAGCACTGACAAAATGCAAAAGTGACCAAAACATCAGCCAGAAAGGATGAGAACAGAGACATAGTCTGTGGTCACCATCTGCAGAACCACTCCTTTATAGGGGTTGTCCTGCTAAGTGCCTCTCATTTCCACCTGTTGTCAGATCCATTTGCACAACAGCAGGTGAAATCGATTCACAACCAGTGTTGCTAAGTGGACAGGTTGATTTCACAGAAGTGCGATTGACTTGGAGGTACATTGTGTTGTTTAGGTGTTCCCTTTATTTTTTTGAGCAGTATATATATATTGTAGGAGCCATGAATAAGTTAAACTATACATAAATATAAAGACAATTATTTTATATTACTAATAATATTTTGACATAATTTATATTCAAGTTAAGTATTGTTCGGTGTTATTATTGGTAGTTATTTCTGTAATCATGATTATTTGTTGGAAGCTGGTCACATGGCATAGGGTGGTGAAGTTTATTTAGGTACCTGCTCGTATGCAGTTGGTGAAGGAGAGGGTGAGTGGGATGTCATATTTTTTGTTGACTTCAGGCTTTGATCGCTGTGAGATTAATTTTGTTATACTTTGAGCACATGAAATTATGTTGATCTTTTTTCATTATTAAACTTTGAAACGTATTTTGAATCGAAGCAAATCTTTTGTACAGCGTGTCGGACAAAGAGCTAGGCCCTCCTGATATGACAAAAACCTCTGTTACAGTATGCAGCATTGTTGTAGTATGTCAGAGAGGCTTTCGTACTTACCGTTCAACATTCCAGATGCGAAGAGGGGAGAAGTTCTCACAGCATGCTGTGCCTGTTGCAAAGGAACTGGACACAGAGAGACAGAACAGGACAGAGACAGAGAGAAAAAGCGTTAAATGTCTCACAAAATGTATTTAAATCAGTGGAACAAACCTAAAGCAGGAGAATATTGTACCGTCAAGGTCTGAAACTTATTATTCATAACTCAGTTAGCTGAAACTGACTGTAAGAATGTTACTCAGGCAATCCTCATCTCATGTATTGGCTAACAAATATACGTCCTGTCGATACATCAGAACCTGCCTCCAAATGTCATGATGTGCACTAAACAAAATCACATGTGATATGGTCATCCAGGCAAAACAATAGTCATGAAAACAGATACAGACAGACAGAGGTGGTTTCATTTGATGTGACAGCGCACACAATGACATGTAGGACTAGCCTAATACTCAGGACGAAAGGTAGTCAACTTTTCAAAAATGAATTAGAAGATGTTGTAAGAAGATGTGAAAAAAATTGTCCATTAAGAAAAAATCAAATAACCAGATTTTTCTCTCTGTTACATAGCAGCATATACAAAAACACACACTCTCACACACATACTTGTCCCTGCCTCCATTAACCACACATTGTTTCCCAGCGAAAGAAAAAGAAGGAAACTACAACACTTGTGATCCTTTGATTGGAGTGGCAGGTTGGAATTAGCAGCCTAGGTATGCACAATGAATACCTTGCATGTGGAGAGGTGGGGGAGCAGTGAAAAGAAAGGGGAGGAGCGCTATGGGAGAGGGCTAGTGGAGTGTGTTTGGGTGTTGAAGCAATGTAGATAGTGGGGTGGAGACCAGGACTGCTGGTGGTAGGGAGGCTTCTGTGGGGCTGGGCTTGGGTCTTAGGGCTTAGTGCCCTCCTACAGGGTTGACAGACAGGAGGAGGGGCCCGCCTTTACACATAGAGAGGTAGTTAGTGACAAATGCTGTTGCCTGGATGAGAATACTGTAGGTGGCAATACAGATGCAGAAGATGTAAGACTTTCTTTACCAGTACATTTCACATTGCATAGGAAACACACAGATGCACCTAATTCTGAACCCCCTGATTACACTTAGTTTTACCATAAAATTGATCTAAAACAATTACTTGTTTCCAGAAACCAAAGATATTGCAAAGAGAGGCCAAATCCCCAAACCCATGTAACTGAAAATGGTACAACACTAATAAAAGCAACAAATCCTCAAATACAAGATGTTATAAAATATTTTAAAACTACTTCTAGTTGATACTAAAAATGATTGTCATCAGATTAAAATAATGTCAATTATAGCACTAATGTGCAAAAAGTTGGCCTCAGCAGAGGCCAATAAATATTTACACAGGTACACACTTGTTTATGAGACAAACATTTTAATAAAGATATTTTTAGATATTGGGAATCATGCTTAACTCACAATTTAAGCATTATTTCATTGGCTTATCAAGATAGTGACCCTGGCTGTGTAATATCTCCTGTATATAGACCTGAAACTTTAAATGATTGCTAATCTTATTTTTAGGGTATAAAAGTAAACTGACAACACTGGTAACAAGTCATATACAGCACGCAAACCAGACAACCCTTCTGTAAATGTGTGGGGTACAAAATCTACAGAGAGAAAATTATAGAGATTGTTTCAGGGACTGACTGTATGTACTGAAACCAGAAGCCACATTTATGCTGACCCAAGGTTAACTCACCACCTGTAAACCACAGTGAAGGGAAAGGAGCTATTAGCTCCAGCTGTGGTAGAGAATGGGGTAGGAACCCTGTCAGGACTGTAGTTTCATTTGACTACTCAAACAAGACAACTGCTGTTGTTGTCACACTGTTTCTTTTCTGACAATTGTCCTCCTTTTTCTATGTGTGAAAACTGTGCCACAATTCACTGAACCATTGATAATTCAATAATAATAATAATAATAATAATAATAATAATGTATGTAGTACTCAAAAAAGATAATTCTCTTAACTCTGAGACAGAGTTCTCAATCACAGATCCACTCAACTGGAGTTGGATCACAGAGACAGCGGGCTAAGCAGGTAATTTTAGACATCCCTCTCCCCAGATATGCTTTCCGGTTTCTTTTGGAGGATCCCAAGGCATTCCCAAATCAGGTGAGTTATATAATCCCTCCAGGAAGTTCTGGAGGCCCAGGGGTAACCTCCCAGTGTCCTCCTAGTTAAACCTTCAAAGAACGTCACCCTGGAGGCATCCTAAGTAGGTGCCCGAACCACCTCAACTGGCTACTTTGGCTGGGAAGAAGCAAGGCAGGATGTCCAAGCTCTAAGGCTGAGCCCCTCCACTCTATGGAGAAAATTTACTTCAAGTGCTTGTATCTGTGATCTCATTGTGTTGGTTACTACACAGGTCATAACCATTGGTAAATGGTCTGCACTTATACCTTAGTGGTACTCAAAGCGCTTTACAGTGTTTTCTCATTCACCCATTTGACCCCCTGAGCCACAGCTGCCCATTGGTGAGGGATAGATTGTAGATGGAGTAGTTAAATTGAAAACACTGTCTTTCGGTTCAGCTCCCTCTTTACCAGGACAGTCAGTACAACACCAGCATTACAGCTGATGTAGTACCAATACATTTTCCCATCACTCATGAACAAGATCCCTCGGAAACCTCGAATCCAGGAGGAGCAATGTGGATTCTGTCCTGGCCATAGACCAGTGGATGAGCTCTTTACCCTTGCAGAGGGGGTCATGGGAGTTTGACCAGCCTGTCCACATGTGTTTTGTGGACTGGGAGAAAGCCTACAACCGTGTCCCTGGAGGGGCCCTGTTAGGATTACGGCAAAAGTACATGTTGACTCTGTGTGTTGAAAATTAACACTAAATGGTGCCTAAATGTGATGAGAAGAGTCCAGAAAAGTGCCTGACTGCTGGGGGGACCTTTCATAAAGCACTGAGAACCTTTCCTCTTCTCTCCTGTCTTGTACTCTACAGGTACCAACCTCTAAACACTTCAGAGTCCGATCTGAGCATCTATCGGATTTGCAGGCCCCATTCTGCAACCCACTACCAACATCGTAGACACTATAGGACACCTTGAGGGGACCAGGTCAGAGCTGTTTTATTCCTACAAATGGGACCTACACATTGTTAGGCAGGTGGTTTTAAAGTTGTGGCTGATCAGTGTATATACCACCATTGCATGTCATTAACTTTATGTTTTCTCACTCATCTTTGTGTTTTTCCTCTGTGCTCTGTCTGTCTGTTCCTTACTGCAGGTATTATTATTGGGGTTTGTTGCAGGTTTGACTCCAGACAAGCTGCTGCACTGTGATTGGTAAAGGAGTTTGTTGGACCGCCATTAAATTGCTGGACAGGTGACAGGAAATGATTTAGGTAATGACATCCAATAAAGATCCCTAGCAGGTCTACATGGAAGTTGCAGATCATGGTAAGCACCTTAAACCTCTATGCCACCAGTAACTGATAAGACTTTGTGAGACCTCGGAAGAAAATGGGCTCAGGACTCAGGGTAGTGATGATGGGGGGTGAGGACACCTAAGTGAGGTATAGAGGCAGCTGTCAGACCCGTGAGGTAACACGGCCCATTGGAAGGCCCCCAGTAATTAGTGTTGGGTAAACTCATTTATGGTCCAAATGGGCCAGGCGGGGCCCGGCCCAGTATGCGCAGTGGGTGACCTCTGACCCCGCTGACACAGGATACAATAGGGTTACGGTCACACTCACTATCTGGACCCTATTACTCTCCATTACTCACATTACTCACCCCTCACTGGGCTGCAGCGCTGCCAGAGGAAGGGTGGAGGCAACATTCATACAATAAAAGAATGACTCCCCCCCTCACCTCTATGAAGTGCCAACCAGGCCTGATCTGGGGTCAGAGCTTGCAGTGATATTATAGCTGCTAAGGTCAGAGCCTCTCTCGCCTAATGTGGGGCAGGTGTCCCCCCTAAACACACACACACACACACACACACACACACACACACACACACACACACACACACACACACACACACA